TTGTGGGACAAGTGCTCCCTTAATTTTAGACAAGTCTACTTCAAATATAATTAGGCAGGAGTCTTTTTTTTTTTCTTTTTTGCCCTACATGCCGAGTGAGACACATTACTTGTAATCATTATATACTAGTTTATTGATCGTGGCTTTTCAGTATTCACTGTAGAGAGGCTTGTTTTAACAGAACTGTCAAGAGACATGTCTGGTTAACAAACAATTACCAATTGAAGGTATAGAAACAAGCACAGGGATTTTGCCAGGATATACAGAAATCTGCAAGGTATTTTGACAAAAGATGAAAGGGTTTTTCTCTTGAATCTCATGTTTTTTAAGAGATGTTCCTAAAGTCCATTTAACTACATTTTAGGAGTGGTTCAAGACATTGTTTTCATCTCTACTTTCTATATTTCAATATTTGAAAAGATTGAACAAATGGAAATTATTCTCAGGAATACTGCCTATATGGAAAACCTATGAGAGCCCACACAATGGATCACATTGGCTCATTACTTATAATACAGGTTACCATTAAAATATATTCCAGTTATTAGGAAAGCTGGAAGTGAGTCAATTATTTGAATAAACAAACAAAGACTTGGTTGCTCTGTAGTTTAGTGCATCCCTGAGACGTCTGTAGGCTCCTTTCCCACGCCTCCTGTCTCATTCCTGAACTAGCAGAGGCTGTTGTGCAAGGCAACCTGGCAGCTCCTAATGAACAGGTAGCTCAATGCACTCCTCAGAAGCAATTCCTGCACTGTCCACTTCTGCACATTTGCTGCAGGCACAGGGCACTGACTGCATCTTGTGTGTACCAGAGGAGGAAAAAGAGGTTTTGTAGCTTAGGGAAAGAGAAGCATCAGCTTATCAGGCCAAAGGAATGTTTCTGTGGTCCCTCCAAAGGGGTCCTGCACTCTGACTGCTTGAACAAGCTGAAATACAGCACTTTGCTGTGTCAGACACAAGAAGAAGGTGAGAGACAAAAGAAGGTGCCAGCTTTTTGCTGTCCCCAAAAGAGGACAGGGTTTTTTGTGTCTAAAAGATATAAGAAACAGTGATAACTTCAGCAAAAAGAAGTAACTCAGCCTCACAACTGGCTTTAGTTTCCAGCCTTGTTAGGAAGCAGTATCCCTACATGCAAATTCTTAGGTAAATGAATGAGGACAAACAGAAACAATACATGAAAGACACAAATTCCAAACACCCATTGGGACAAAGTATGCATATTTCAATTCCTTAAGAGTGAAAGTCTGTGTTTTCTAAAACAACTAATGTTTCCTGTTTCCATTAAGGTCTCAGACTGGGCATCCCAAACCATGCAAAGCTGTTGGCCAACAGGTTTATATTTACCCTGGGAGTCAAGGTGAGATTCATGACAGTGCTGCTTATTAAAGCTCCTGTTTTAATGTGCTTGGCTTTTGCAAGTTATGACACAGTAAATACATTTGTGTCACTTAGCAACCTCAGTTGTTTCTAAAGGAATGTCTTTTGTTCTTGGAAATCTATTATAAATGCAGATTACAAAACAATTATTGGGGAATCTAAACTTGTCTTATTTGGATGGTGTTCTGGCCTCTCTGCATTCTGCATTTGAACTATGCACAGGAAAATAATTTACTTTGCACAAGCACCCTTCATTGACATTGCTGTTATGCAGAGAAGCTCTGCATATTTAACAAATATTACAGAAGTTTCTGTAGAAAATAAAGGATGTGAGAAACGCCTGGAGAAAGAAAGGACTGGAAAGGACCTCCTAGTCACAGGGTTCACCCAGTTCAAAGCTGTCTGACTGTTTTGTAAACAACACTATAAATACTTTAACACTGTGATGCAACACTACATAGTCTCTATCATGAATTTATCAACCTGATTCATTTCTACACATGCCAAAGTCTGAGATCACCGACCACGCAGCTCTGGTAATAGGGTTTGAAATGTAAACACCTGCATAAATGAACTATTATTTATAATTTTCACATTGACTGGGTTACAGGGTCTCCATAACAGATTAGAACATGTGCATGATCCAGAACATGTCAAGTTCTGGATAGTCAAGGAACTGAGATTACACTGGAATGCAGACTTCAAAGGATTTAATGGTTTTCTTTCTTTGTCTTTAACAGATGTGAATTCATATCCAGTTGTCCATGTTGTCAGGATCAGTACAGAAGTTAAAATATATAAATTGACCTTTATATTTTGAAATTAAAATGTATCCTCAGGAAACACAATAAAATTATGTCAAATTTTTATAGATGGATACATAATATAATTAATACTTATTTATGAAACTCAGATTTTGTCCTCTGCTAGGAATATCTTAAAGACAAATATTACTAAAAGTATCTTAAAGACTGTTTTCTAAACATTTGAACAGATAAAGAGAGGGTGCAAGTGAATAATAATCATAAAAAGGGACCAATGACTGTTCTCAACTGTAATGTCTTGCTAATAGAATAACTTAGACAACAAGTTGCCATGAGAATTTTGGCAATCCCAGCAGACCATACACAGAAATGCATCTGGGAAAAAAAAATAGCATAAATGGTCATTATCAAGGTCATTATGAATTTCTGCTCACAAAAATACTGTCAGGTGTCAGAAAAATTTTGTTAACAGTTTTGCAACTCCTTTTATAATTTTATTTTAAAAAGAACCTCCCCCTATCCTTAGTGTTCTATGCTTTGGGGTTTTGGGGATTCTTTTAATTACTGAGGTAAACTGCTAAAGTAAAGGCAGTGCCTTAGAGCTCATCTCCAGCAGTAGAAGACCAAGTATGATAACCAGGCTGTGATTCTCCTAATTAAAAAGAGAACACAGTGAGTAAGCTATAGCTTACTCAGGACTTGGCCAAATGACCTGATAGTTACAATGACGAGGCCCCAGCTTCTTTGGGGCTGACCTGGCAGCACACTTATGCTCACAAACTCCACACCAGGACACCTATGACAGCCCCTTTATTTGTTGAAGTTGTTTTCATTTCTACAGAGAGCCACAAGCAAACAGCTACCTGTTCATGAACTGCTGCAGCGTTTCTGCCAGGAACATCCCATAATGGCTGCAGACAGTTCAGATCTGCCCCTAGCATGGATTGGGGCTTAGTCCCAGAAAGGTCTCTGGATGTTGACAGACTGAGATCCATTCCACAGATATGACTATGATGTAAATTCATATTGAGCCCTCTTTGGTACAGTTTTTCCGCATAAACAAATCTTTGAGAGAGAGCCACAGGTGTAGGATAGACTATCTTCCCCAGCATTTTAGCTTTTCTCTCATCATCCAGTGAAAAAAGAAGATAGTACCTAAGTAATGGCTGAGGTTCCCAATTCCTCCAGGAGGACAATCTGAAACACCCTTCTCCTGAATGTCCACAAATCTCATTTTGTTCAGCTGGTAAGTCTACTAATCCTGATCAGTAGCATACAGTGTAAACATCTGCAGTATGTTTAGTCCTAAACCCCTCAGCGGATACTCAGTCCATTGTCAACCAGTCATCACTAAAACTTCACATTTAAAAAGATCTGAGGACATCAGGATTCTGCTAATGACTGGGCTCTGAGCTCCCTATCTGTGGCACTGATCTGCACGATCCTGCACGCTTTTCCCAGCACTGTTGGTTAGGGATGCAATGAAGCACGATTTGCGATTATCATTCCCGGGCTCATGAAAGCCCCAGGTGTAGATGTAATCACAAGCAGCACTGAGCTTTTGCTGGTATGGCTCATTTTGCTTTTGTGGGAGAAGAAAAGGCTGGAATAAGCTGTACTGGTTTATTGCAGTTTTGCTTGTATAGAATACCAGATTACCTACTCAGAAGTGATCTGAATATAGATCTCCCTTGGAGTTGAAGTCGATCCATCCACTGCATCTATGTAGGCCTGCTTCTATTGCTTTTGAATAGATACTGCAAAAATAAGGAATAAAGGTGAAAGTGTTTTCTTAAACATATTTGGGGGCGGGCAGGGGGCAACAAAATCTCACTTTTTCATCATCTGTAGAAAAAATGCGATCTGAGTTTTAACTGACAGTTACCAAAAAGGTGCTGAAAACAAGAAATTCTCGGTACCTCAAGTATGCACATGAATAACAATATGCAATTAGGTGACATGATTAATGCCCAGCTGATACAAATCCAGGCAGGGGATGTAGTAATGGGCTTGGACACCTAGGCTGGAGTGACCAGTACCATGTGCAGACAGCAGGCATGCTCACAAACACGTGCCTTTGTGCACAGGGTCTACAGCAGGTGGAAGTAGCTGAGGAGGACATGAGGACAAACGGACCAAAGGACATGGCCTCTCCTTTGCCAAGCGCTTACTGATTAATCAAGGGCACAGTGGTGAGAGCAGTTATGTGTACGAGAACTTACACTTTACAAGCTGTTCCCGGCGGAACCGACCGCATGCTCCGTCACGTGAATAAGCGTGTTCTGGACTATGTCCCCTGAGTTCTAACACCCAGAAAGCCTTTCTTAAGGCTCATCATACCCTGCTTGAATGATGCAGAGGCAGAAGCAAGGGCACTGGGACATGAAGCTTGAATGATGCAGAGGCAGAAGCAAGGGAAGGAAGGGCACTGGGACATGAGGAGACAGGGCAGAGCCTTGATGCAGGGAATGAAGTAAAATGCAGGCTGCGACAAACCCGACAGAACAGCTGCAGAGTTACTTCACGTGTGCTCATTCTAGGGATGCAGAGGAAGGCTCCTAAGGCATTTCTGTGTCGAGGAACTAAACCCCAAACCCGTGCGCTGCCGGCTGCGGCACACGGCGGGCACAGCAGAGGCGGCCGCCGAGCGGGGGCCACGCGGCAGAGCCGGGCGCTGCGGTGCGAACGCGCCGCGCTCCCGGCANCCGCTCGCGCTGCCCGCCGCCCCGCGCGCCCCCTCCAAGCGATCGTCCCGAGGCGACGGGCCGGCGCGGGACCCTCGGCCGCGCGCCCCGCCCCCTCCTGCCAATCACAACGGCCCCGCCCCCGAGACCCGAGGTGCGGGGTTTGAAAGCGGGCCGGTCCACGCGGCGCGCAGACGGGGGGGGGAAGCGGACGGCACCGGCAGCGTCGCTCTCGGTGGTCGCGGGGCGGCCTCGCCCGGCCGGCGGCGGAAGCCGCCTCCGCGCTATTGGCCGAGCCCTCCCCGCGCGGGGTGCCGGCCCCGGGAGCGGCCGGCAAGCGGTTGGTCCGGGGGGCCGCCCCCTTCCCCCCCTCCCCCGGCCGGCGCAGTGGGAGGCGCCCGGGCGCGCGCGTCACCCATTGTTTACAAACCAACGCCAGCGGGCCGAGCTCCAGCCGCGACCGCAGCGCCGGAGCCGCGTGTGCTCGCGCGCGCGCGGGGCGGCGGCGGCACGGCGGGGACCCGGCAGACATGCCGTGCCGCCCGGGCGAGCGCTTCCTGCTGCTGGAGCGCCCGGTCGCCGTGGGACAGGCGGGCTCTAAGGAGGTGGACGCGCTGGTGGCCAAGCTGGGCGAGGTGCTGCAGCTGAGCGCGCAGCGGGCGCCGCCGCCGCCCCGCGCCCCCAAGCACCTGGGGCCGGGCAGCGCCCGCGACCGCGCCGCCCCCTACTCGCCGCGGTGCTGCAGCGGCGCCGGGGCCGGGCTGCTGGCGCCGCGGGGACCGGCGCCGCCGCAAGCTCACTCGCAACATGTTGAGCCTCCGCGGCCGGACCGGAGCGGCCAGCAGCGGGTGACCAAGCAGCTGTGCGGACGGGGCTGGCTGCGGAGCGCCGCCCGCCGGAGGAAGCAGCCTCCGCCGGGGCCGGGCGACGGGCCGGCGGAGGAGGAGGACCCGCACCGGCTCCTGCAGCAGCTCATCCTTTCCGGCAATCTCATCAAAGAAGCGGTCCGGCGGCTGCAGCTGGCGGCGGCGGCGGCGGCAGCAGCGGCATCGGCGGCCTCCAGCGGCAGCGCCTCGGCGGGGAGCGGACCGGGCGAAGGAGCGCGGCCGCTGGCGGCGGAGCCCCCGCCGGGCGGGCCGCGGGAGCGCGGTGCGGGCTCCGCCAGGATGTAAGTGTGTCCCGGCGGCGGGGCCCCCGGGCCGGTGCCGGTTCGGGCGGGAGGGAGCCCGAGCCCCCCGCCCCAAGGTCACCCGCGGCGCGGACCCCGCGGAGCCCCAGCCGGCGAGGCCGCGCACGCCGCCCGCCCCGAGCTGTTGTTGTGCCCCCCTCCCTCTCTGCCTTCCCGGGAGCTCCTCCTTCTCCTCCCCCCGCCGGGGCAGCCCGGCCGGGGCCGCGGACCCCCCCGCCGCCGGTCCCCGCCGCCGCCGAGCTGCTCCGTCTCCCAGGAGCCATTTGCAATAATCCTCGCTGACCCCGGCGGGAGGTGTTTCCTTTCCCCTCCCGGGCTGGTTTGGTTTTTTGTTGGGGGTTTATTTGTTGTTATTTTAACGTTTATTGTTATTATTTCTCGGTGTGACTGTATGAAGCAGTTTTAAAAAAAATGTGAATATCAAAGCTGGAAGGCAGCTGGACTTAATAACAAATGAGTGAATGGAGCCTGAGATGCATTGTTCACATAAGGTAGCCGAAACAAGTTTTTTCTACCAAAAAGAAAAACCCTGAATCCACCCTTCCCCGACAAACTCAATGGCTCAAGTACAAGATGCAGCTGTTGATTTTAAATATATGCACTTCGTACCGGAGCGTTTGAAATGTGTTCCTGATTTACAGGACTTACTGTCTTAATTAACCTGTCTGTATTGAATAAACGTGGTCTTGTTTTTATTTTTGCGTCTGCGTCTCATTGTTAAGAGGAAATGCATTCTGGTTCATGAGAACAAAACTGTGTAGGCACGTTCCCCCTTGGTCTGCTTTCAGTTGTGAGATCTCCATTTTGCAAGCAAAAAAAAAAAAAATCCCTACAACAATCCGCATAGTCTGATGCAGTGGGACACCGGTTATTAATGCACGGAGATGCAACTGAGCCCCTTTGTTTGCCAGCAGCGTTCGTTCGTAAGCCATGAGACGCCCCTTCGAGCAGCCGAGGTTGTGGCTGTTGGAATTTATAAGTCAAACCATACCCAAACAAAAATTAGGTATTTTGTACTGGGGAAGGATCGTGGTTTGTATTGGTCACTTGTTCGGGTTGTTTTGATTTTTTTTTTTTTTTTTTCTCTGAGGATAGAGGCGGGGGGAAAGACTCTAGAAAGGAGATAAGAGGTCTAGGCAGCAATCAAAAAAAAATTTAAAAATCTGTAAACCAGAATTTGGTAATTTGATGCTGGTCATTAGGTTTGAATACCTATTATGAATAGCTTCCTTTGTGAAATCCTGTGTTGGATTTTTAGGAGTCATTGAGCTTCGAGATGAGAACTGAGCACATCAGACAGACTGGAGCTTAACAATCTCCCAACCCCCACTCAATTTGAGGTAAAAGCTTCTCCTTTGAAGAAGGTAGCAATCCCACATGAAAGAAAATGGAAGATGTTTGCCTTTGTCCAAGAGAGCAATTTGAGCAGCTACGTTTACTTGTGTGATTAGTTCTTCCATGAATACATTAAATCCACAAAATATTTTAGATTTCTTTCTCTGCCACAGCTGCTACTAGAAACTGATGCTGAAGCATTTTATGATGTCTCACTGAATTCCTGCTGCATTAGAACCAGTATGTGATGTTATTATTAGCTTTATCTTGACTAATTTATAAGTTGAATGCAGTTTTTCCATATCAAAGCATGTAAAGTGCAAAAAAAAAAGTTCAGTGCATTTTAGAACCTCCTTAATTACTAACATCTGAAGTCCTTTTTCTCCTAACTTGAGCTGCTTTCGTGGCATTTTGCACAACTTGGAAAAGATTCAGGTCTGCCATTAGTTCTTACTCTCTAATACAATGATGTACTGTGTAGGTTATCCTTCAAATGAATTTTTATTTGCAATTTTCTGGTTTCTTTCTCCAGGAAAAAGAGTTCAATAGCAGATACAAAGAATATAACCACTAGCCACAATTGAAGAACTAGTTATTCTTGTATTTGTCCTTTAGATGCTCAGGGAGGTAGGTATTTGCTGTGCAGATGCTGAATTTGGGCTCTGGGATGAGTAGTTTAATTACCAAAAAAAGCTGGAAGAAACAAGCTAAAAGCTGAGCATAGCTGGTGGAGCCTGAATTATGGTTAAAAATACATGGGTGGGGGTCAGCTGGAATTCTGAAAGCTGGCGAGTTTGACTTGAACTTTTTGCCACTGATAATTATGCATCGATTTTGCATCTCCTTTCCCTCCCCCCTTCCTCCTGCCCAAGCCCTAGCCCCTGTATACTAATGAGAACAGCTAACTTTACAAGTGTCCTTTGTAGTCATTGAAAGCCTCGAGACATTCCTTTTAAGGATTTTACTAGAATAACACTTTTCAATAAAGTGGCAGTTGAAGTGAGGCGTAGAAAAGATGCTAATAAATTTCACTGTGACTGGCTGGTTTTTAAGCTTCCTAAATTACTTCTAAAATAGCTTTTACTTTCTCCTTTGTGCAAGGCTGGGAGATGTATATATGAGCAGGGTTATAGTAAGCTAAGCGTTATGCAGAGTGTGATGATTCAGTAAAAGGAATTTTGGCCCTTGTTTCAGGTAACTTGCATAACTCACCGACACATCTTTGTCACTTAAATCTTCCATATAAGTATTTATCTTCATCAAAATACAGAACATGTCACTCCTTCGTGAGGGAACAGATCAAACATGGCTCATCTCGGTTTTGGAAGAACATTTTAAAAGATGTTGGACCAATTGAAGTATTGCCAGGAGGTTTCCATTGATTTGTTGCAAATTCTCCTTTTCTTTGCCTTGTGCTACACTATGCAAGCATACAAACTGTGATATGAAAGTCATCATCTGCTTTGTTTCCCAAGCAAGATAAAAATGTTGACCTGGGAAACAATAATTTTTCTGGGTTTTTATATATCTGTGTTTCAGAGGTGGCGTTTCTTTAGTATATTAAGTCTGTGCCAGTCCTCTCATACCAGTTGTTGGTTTCTAGAGAAACAAAGTGAAAATACATTTGGCCTTTACAGCATGCTTAAACTTTCTTCATTCATGAGTGAAAATGTAAGTTTACTTACAGGTTTAAATTTGGAATAAAATTGTGTTTTCATGATAGACATTTAGCTAGGTTTTATCTCTTTTTTTTCTGTATTGTGAAGAAAAAGATTGTTCAAAACACACAGATTTTGCAGTGGATGACATGAACTGTAGAATCAAAAGTAAACCGTGTAGATTTTTGTAACAAGTAACACTTCAATGCATTGGGGAAGAAATTTAATTTTTTTATATCTATATGTTTTGAGGGTAAGCGTAATTTTAAATAATGTTGTAAACAAATGCACTGAAGGCTCCCAACATCATCTTTCAATGTGCCTCTCTGTGGTGTTGTGCTAGCATGGCACTGGGCTGCCACAGATTTTTCATTTGAGGTCTACATTGCTGCTTAACTCCTCCTGAGTTTTCTTTATATAACTGGACAACTGTTTTCCTGACTGCCCAAAACTCAGCTTTGCATCCTAGTTATATCTTGTTCTTTGTACTCCCATGTTCCCTGAGCTCTTAAAAGTACCTCAATTTAGCCAGAAGTCTGGCAGGTAGAATGATTTTTGTCTGCCATTTCCCTCATGTGACCCATATCCCTCACTACTGTGTATTGTACCAGCACTTAGAATGTACTGTAAAAATTACACTGGCATGGTACTTGGCATGATAAACATGGTAGGAAAGTAGGAACTCCACCCTAAGTTCTTAAAATGTGGTTTAAAAAAAGTCTTTTTTTTAGCAAATAGCAAGCACATTTCATGGAAGGCAGAAGGGAGAAGGAGGATCTATGCTGGTTAATGCACAATTTAAGTTCTGGTCAGCTGGGGCCAGTCCCAGTGTTGGTGACTTCTCCAGGTCCATATAAAAAACATTTCTAATTCCCTCCTTGTCCCTGGCTCCATAATTTTCGTCTCTTCACCCTGCATTCCCTGCCTTAGCCAGGCCATTTTTTTTCAGCTTGTGGTTGAAGTATTTCACTTTTGCATGTCTTTTGTCCATGTCATATTACTCTTCCCAAATATTAAGTACCTTTGTTCTCTTCAGTTGCCTTTTGGTGGGTGCTTTTTCACTTGACTTTCAAATATCATCATTCAGTCACTTCTTAGTGGCCACGATCTGGTTAACTCCTTACAAACCTTGCAGTGTGAGTGTTGGAGGGCAAGTTACAAGTGTCCTTCATCTTCAGTTTGTACAGCATAGGGCAGAAATCAGAGGAGAAATCCTAGCTGCAATGAAATGAACAGATGAAGTTAACAGAAAAATTATTTTCAACTTCTATGGGAATTTCTTCTTTTTTTTTTTTGGTGTATTTTTTTATTTTTTTAGAAGTAGCTGGGAAATACCACTTAAAGTGGTACAATAACTACAGAAATGCTTTTGGGGGGACACAAAAATGACATCAGCGCACTCATTTCCTGAGTCAATGAGTTTGGTTCACTTTTTCTCTTCCAAAAATTATGTTTTAGCTGTGTGACTAACCTCAGTCACCTTTGTCAAAGCTGTAGAACTGCCATTATGCAATTTCCTTGGCAAAAAGCAGCTGCTGGAGAAGAATTGGTGCCCACAGAGAGGAAGGCTGCAGTGTGCCCGAGCTGCATTAGTAAACACTGTAAACTCCACAGCAGAGGAAGCTACAGGAAATCAGGCACCATAAATTCAGAGGCGTGCAGCATTAGCTGTTCCTTATGCAATATCCTGTATTTAAATTGTATTATTTTTGCTACCCATTATATAATACAGTGGTGTCTGGTGGAGTAATGCAGCCAGCTAAGGGTGCTCTTCATCACTGCAGGCATTAGGTAGGACATGAGCAATCAAAAGAAATTGTAAAAAACACCACATCTCTGTGTCCTGCTTGTAATTACTGACTTGGCAGGACTTCATTCATGAAGAGGTGCAAGGATAGGCTGTAAGCTCCTGAGCTATATGAAGAAGTTTAATATGTTCAGTTCCAAACCCAAGAACATATTTTATAGCTGCAACAATTTTAAAGTTAAAGGCAAAAAAATTCTGCTGGAGCTTTGAGCTTAGAAGCCAAGTGGTAAATTTGAGAATAAATGGACCTGCTTTCATTTTCCTCCCATGTAGGTACTTCAGTCGTCATCCAAGGAACTTCACTGCTCCCTGGCACACTATGGGGTTTGTATCATCAGCTGCCCCTCAGGAGATGACCTCTGATTGATTTTACAGTCCAGGGAAGTTGTAGTTTTCCAGCTCAATGGGATCACTTTTGGGAGCAGTGCTGACTTAAATACATTTTTCGTTTGGTGGTAAGGGATGAAACAGCACCAGGATAAAAATGTTTTAATTAGAGGAAATGGATCCTGGCTGGCTTAATAGTAAATATTTACTGCTCTAAGCATTTTACCATGAGAGATTGGGGCTTATTCTACTCGCATCACAACAATTGTCCTAGTTTCATGGCTTAAATCTACAGAAGCATGGGCTCGCAGTTAAAGTGCAAATTTGGGTTATTAGTGTTCTTAAATCCACATTGCAATGCCATTTCTTGTTTACAAGAGTAACTTAGTGTTCCAGAGGAAACCACACAGGGCTGAAGCAGTGACTGAATGCATGCATGTACATCCCAGCTTCTCCTGCAAAATGGAAGATGAGGGGGTGCCTAATCCTCTCCTGTTGCCAGCAGGCAGAATTGCCAGTTGCTGTTCCAGCAACACAGACCTACCAGTGCATGGATATGCCCCACTGG